AGTAATGAATGATTTACACTTGCATCATCATTTGAATGATAATAATTTTATGTTTACATCATCACTTCTACATACAATATATCATTTGCCAAAATTTTGTTACAAGTTGCTACTAGATGTTACTAGTTGTTTGCAGATACTCATGACAAAACTTGTGATAGCTGTTTGATACAAAAGAAAAGTTTTGAGCCTTTTTGTTTTTTTTTTAATTACTTCTTTATATCTGTTACAAGTTACTTAAGTAAAATAGTAGAATTCTAAAAGAAAAAACTCTTTCTCATAGTATACTTTTTATATATACCCAATATATAGATATATATATAATATATTCGATATCTATGATACATATACTTACTTATAGTACATATACATATATATTTGCCTTTAATATATATATGATATACCTATAGAAAAAAGTAAAAAGCTATAGTTAAAAAAATTTTTCTAAGAAACTTGTAACAGCTGTAACAGTTATTGAGAACAATTTTTTTCGAACTTAGACTTTCAAGAACCTAACTTCCTATTGATTTTTTTACCTAAAACAAACTTGTAACAACTTGTGACAATTATCAAGAACAGTTTTTTTCAAACTTAGACTTCCAAGAACTTATTTTTCTACCAATTTTTTTTACTTAAAACGAACTCATATCAACTTGTATTAGTTAATACTATATATTTTTTCTGTCCTAATTCTCATTCTAGAAAAAAACTTGGACATAACCTCCAATCAATAGGTATATATTGTATACTAATTACTAAGATTCTTTTATCTCAAATCCATTTTATACCATCTTCTCTAGCCTTTTTGCTGATAGTGAGCTTTAATATAACATTTATCTGCATACAAATTATACAAGTTATACTTAGAAGCAGTTGGTTTACCATATTCTAAGTAGGGGACATGTTGATGCCTTTTTCAGTAAATAGCACATCCTTTTGGTTGATAGCAAGGCCATTCACAGGCTTTTTCTTTATTAGAAAAATATTGATAAAAATAAATATTCATTATTATTGATTATTATTTTTTTGAAAACTCACTAATATTAGTATTCAAGATAAAAGTAATTAATTAATAATTTCAAATTAAACTTTTTTCTTAGGTTAATATATCAGAATTTCAAATATCCTTAACTTTTATGAGTACCCAAAAATTTCAAGAAAATATCAATCATGCACCAGTAGAGGTGATAGCAGTACTTTCTCAACCAGAGAGCCTGGAAATTGCTAAAAATTTCGAACTAGAGATAGAGGAAGAAAATAGCAGAGCATACTAATACTGAAGAGCAAAGCTTTTCCTCAATTACAGATTTTGGAAAATAGAAAAACTGGTTAATTACTTCAATACTTTGGCAATAATTATTTAACAGAATTACAGACCTATAATAATATAGTTGCATAAAATGATGAAAGTTTGTTTGCAATTTTCAATAATGCTTTAACTAGATGAGAGGATATCCTTTTTATAGCTGTTAATTTTGAGGGTTCATTAAAAAAAATAGTTTAAAAAAATCATTATATTTTGCATCTTTATAGTTCTCTTATTAATGATCAAAAAGCAGTAGTTACTCTTACAGAGATTCAGATTTTCTTTGATATACTTGTTCCTAATAAAGAAATCATAGACAAGTTTAAAATAAAAATAGATGCAATTCTCTCTAGTGTTATAAATATCTATAAAATAGAATATATTAAGACCTTCTTTTACATAGTTACTATACAGAAAAAAAGTCATATTTACGAATTTTTACACTCAGTAGTAGAAATAGAAAAAAAGCTCTCTAAGCTATCCAAGATAACAATTTCGAAAGCACTTCAGATAATATGTTTTCATTTTACTGTAAAATAGCTAGAAAAAATGGAATTGTGATTTTTGGTTAGTCTATGATAAGCAAGTATAGATACAAGAAACATTCCTATTATACATATGGTTTTTAGGTTTCTATAAATAATTTTTGATTAGTAAAAAATCTAAAAATGATAAATGACCATTTACTGATTTTATCACTCATGAGAGATTATATGCTTATCTTTACATGGAATATAGAGACACAATTATAAGAGTTGGGCAAATTTGCTGAAATATATAATGAAGAAAATATTATATTGATGATTTGTATGACCTTATATTAAAAAGATGATCCAAAACCGTTAAAACAAATCTGTCTTGTCAATCTTGAAACTGCACCAGACTCACATTGAATAACAGTTGTATGTAGGAATCAGACAAATTTACTAAAAGCATTTGCATTATGCTAGAAGGCCTTCTTCTCTGATATTCAATTCGGATTTAGTGATTCTGAATATGATTGGCTATTTATTATAAAAAGAGCTTGCAGACTTAATCTTCTTGAATAGATGTGGAAGCAAATGACAGGAAGCTTTAAATCATCTAAAGAAATTCAAAAATAGAACTATTATGAGAAAATAGAGTAAAATCTAAAAATAGTTTTCAAAAGAAAAAAGACACCATTGATAATAATAAGAAAGAAAATGGTAGAGTACAACCAGTCATAATTAAGATTAATCTGGAAGATAATTATATTTCTACTTTTCTTAAAATATCAGGTTGTGTACTAATTGATATACATGTATGTTTTATGAAACTCTATTCTCATGCAGAAGTTAATAAAAAAAGTTCACTTGCATTTTACTTAAAAATATATGAATTGGGAGGTAAAGCAGATATGCTATATAATAAAATATAGAAAATTTACTCAGAAGCAAAAGATAATATTTCTTTAAATAAATCACATTCTACTATAGAAAACATGCATAAAGTAGCATATTATTGTATTATAGATGTACTGTGTTGCTAGGAGCTTATGGTTAAGCAGAATGTAATTAATAACTATAGAGAGGTTGCTTCTATAGCCTATGTATTTTTGTTTAATTCACATTATTATACCAATAGAATAAAGGTGCAAAACCTTCTGGATGCTTATGCCACTAAATGTAATATACTATTTAGTATGAGACAATATAAAAATACAGAAAAAGGTAAGTATCCTGGCACATATGTATTTCTATCTAAAAAAAGAATTGAGACAAAAAGGCTTGTTACAGAATTGGATTTTGCATCTTTATATTCTAGTCTTATTATGGCTTACAACCTTTCTTCAGAAAAAATGATATTAACTTATAGAGAGGCTAATATTGTACAAAAAAATAGAAATAACTTGTATAAGATTGAGTTTCTATTTAATAATCATATTATCTATGCTTGGTCTGTAAGACATGATAATCAATTTGAAAAGAAGGGTTTATATCTTATTGTATTAGAAGATCTATTTAACAAGAGAGTAAATCTTAAAGCACAACTTGTCTCATTAGGAAAGAAAAAATAATGTCTCAAAAAAATGATAAGTTCAATTAAAAAGAAAGGTAAAAAAATCCTAGAAAGCTTAAATTCAAAATATTCATCCATATGTTTCAATTATAATTGTTTAAATTTTAAGCAGTTTGCTTTAAAGATATATATGAATACCTTTTATGATGAAGCAAGAAATAGTAAATCTCTATTTTTTCTTTGTGAATTAGCTGAAGGGATCACTTCTGCAAGTCAATATAATATTGATCTTTTTGCTAAATTCATATCTAAGAAAGCTTTTGGAATAAAATATAGGGATATTAATTCTTTATATCTTATATATCCAGATAAGTATTATGAAAAAAATGATAGAGCTTTTAATAAAGATAGACTTTTCAAGAAGGAATACTAGTCTGAAATAGTTAAAATTACTATTGATGTAATGAAAAAATTGCATGATCAAGTAAATGCTTATCTTAAAAAAAAAAATAACACATCTTATCTTAAAATAACATACAAAGAGATATTATTTTCTGTTTGCTTTATTGACAAAAAAAAATACTTTAGTGTATCACATAAAGAAGTTGTTAATTTCAAACCAGATAATCTCTTTTAAAAAGGGATTAATAGCATAAAGCAAGGCCAGTCTCAGCTTTTCAAATTTATTGAAGAAAAAATTATATAGGAAGCTATAGATATAAATAATACATAATCAATTCATAAAATTGTTGAAAATACTTTTAGAGAGGCCAAACATAAATAATGAGACTTTAGTCAATTTACTAAAACAGCTTCGTGAAAGCCTAAGAAAAAAATCTTCATATCCAGCATTTTATAACTCGAATGAAAGAAAAAAATTAAATATTCTAGATTCTGGTGAGTGCTTTAGTTATGTAGTAGTAAAAGGTAAGCATTATCATGATGAAAAAAGTTAATTAATACTATATAGAGTTGGTAATTATATGGAATATTTAGAGTTTGCAAAAGAGCAAAACATGAAAATAAATATCAACTACCATTTAGAAAGCACGTTGAGATTATATGCACAGTTTATCAATAAAGATGAAAAGTATCAACCACCAAGTTCAAATAAGGTTATGCAGATTAAAGACTCAGATGAGAAAGAAAAGCAGATTAATGTATATTTCCAGAAAGAGGTAAAAAAATGACTTGAAAAATATATTAAAAGCTTGCAATAAGTATTTCACTAATGGCCCAATATTAGTAAGACTATACAATAAAATTATTTTTTATATATAAATAATATCCAAGTTTAAATAGATAGTCTTGATTACCTAATTCACATACCCTGCAATTGATTACTTTTTTTATAATCCTTTAGAGTTGCTCCTTCAGCCTGTGAAGCAATAGCACTTCGAGCCTATTCATATTCTATATGAATTTTAATATAATAAACCACATAACAGTAATAATTAACAGGATAAGAAAAATATATGCTGATAGTAGTGATATTAAAGTGCTTGCCACAAAGATTGCTCCTATTTCTTCTATCAAAAGAAGCAAAGCCTCAAAACTAGGTTTCATCTAGAAATTCGATTTAATCAAAGAGGACATATGTGCTTTGGCACTAGCTCCACTATTTTTTTCCTGCTGTGCAAGGTATAGAGTCATATTCAGTATTTCTTGAAGTATATTGTTGTTAGTTTTACTAATATTGATTTTATTACTTACTTTAGTAATAATCTTAGTATCTATTCTTTGAGATGAAGTTTGACCTTGAATTACTGATTCCTCAGATATAGGAGTTTTTTCATTATTAGTATTATTTAGTATAATGATGAAGCTAGTATTAGTAGTAAAGCTATGAGTTTCTGACTCAAGACACTTAGTATCAATTTTTTTAGCTTGATCTATATTTTTTCTATGTATAAAATATTGTCTGAGACTTTTACTAGGTTCAATAACTGCAGATATATCATTAAACTTGGTTATATTTTTTTCATCATTTCTATTAAGTACAGAGTTTGATATAGCCTCTGATTTCAGACACTCTAGTTTACTGACTTTTGATTTCAATTTACTCTTTATATTTTCCAATTCTGCTATTTTGGATTTGAGTGACATAATCTTAGTTTCTTTTTTTGATGAGTTATTTTGAATCGAAATTACATCTTTCTGGGCTGAAGATAACTTACCTTCCAATATCTTGATCATAGACTCAAGTGATCTAATTTTCTTAGATTTTATATTATTCTCAGCTTTGGACTTTGCAAGAGAAATGTCTTTATTAGCATTTTTAATCTGTAAATGTCTAGTTTCATTAATGAGTTCAAGATTATGAATATATAATTTCTGGATTATAGCATTGGACCTACCTAGTTTCTAACTCCATTTTTTTCTCTTCTGTTTCTACTATTTTCTTTCCTAATCCTACTTCATATTTTGTTTTAATTAATTAGCTTACAATGTTTTATTGCAAGTATTTAATTCAGATATAATGTTTGCACTATATTGCAACTTCTTCTTAATATTATATTTCTTGTCCATATTATTAATGAAATTTGATTTGTCAAAAAAATAATATCAAATATATTATATCTTTTTGAATGTATATATATTTTAAGTATGATATATTATATAGAATATATACATCTGTTATAATATATTAGATAGGATATATATATAATAAATAAGTATAAGATATGTATATTTGATATATTATTTTTTTTTATATATTATATATATTTTTGTTAGATATAAATATCTTGTATTTTTACAAAGAAAAAAAATACTATTTATATTTATTATTATGCTTAGACCATGTATATGATCTAATGCACCTCTATTAATACCTAAAGATTATTTATATATTATACATTGTCATAATATAAAACCAAGATATAAAATTTTAAATGAGTTGCCAAATAAGTATAGAACATCAACAAAATATATTTATCAGATTTGGAGAGGAGAGAAATCTAATAGAGTTCTCTGAAATCAACTTATTTCTCACTTATATAATGATGATATTGATTCTGATCAAAATACTAATGTATCAAATTCTGCTATAAACATCTTTCATATAGAATCTCAATCTTTAGATAGGGACAAAGTCTCATTACTATGCAGGTTATTAGATAATGAAATAGGTATAAATCAAAAACTTGAGGCTTAGCTTCCTCAAGGCTTTGTCTTTTCTTCAAATAATAGTATATCACAAGATCCTGTACAGTTAAATAAGCTAACAAAAACAAAGAGATCTAAATCTGATTGAATATCTAACTTATCTGTTATTGCCAAAGACCTAATGGAAAAAATAAATAGAAAGCCCTTATATTCTACAGGTACACTAGCCTCTTTTAGACATACAGTAGAAGAAGGTAAGAAAAATTTATCAAATTCAAAATATAAAACAATAAGTTATAAACTCTGAATTTTGTCTATTCTACTGCAAAGCAATAGCTCTTTGAGCCTACTCTCTATTTTTTTTACCAGATAATCCAATGTAGTGATAAATAAGAGTATTAAGATTAGTGATAATTTTTGTTGCATCATACATTTTTTTCTCATATTTCTCACAATTTACACATTTTTTTTTAAAGTCAAATTAGTAGATTTTAAGCTAAAACCCACAGAAGCATGCCATTTTTTCAATGGTTCATCCCTCTTATTACTATTGACCTCTTGAGAAATTTGATCAGATACTAAAGACTTACTATTTTAAGCTATATTTGCACAATTTACTTCAAGTTTATTCTTGATCTTATGCATGTTTATCAGAATAAAATACTCTTTACCATTATATATGAGTTTTAATTCTTATTTTGATATGATCAAATCGTAATTATATTTGTCTAAGAGAGTATTTGATAAAATTAGCATTGGCTTATAATGTTTAACAATAGCAAAATCAGAATGTATAGTACAACCTCAGGTAAAAGTTACTGGAGCATTATAGACAATTCCAATGAATTCAATAGGTGCTGTAGCAATTTCACTAAGATCATGTTTTTCTTTTGTATCAATTATAAGTTTTAAACATTTAGCAATATCTTTTGTTATAATTGGAAAATTTGCACCAGGGTCAACTGTAGCCATTAGAATTACTAATTGTTTAATTTTGCAATTTGTAGTTACCATATCCATAGCTGGATCTTTTTTTTGAACAAAATCAATTTCCATAGGATTATTTATAATCTCTTCTTTCTCTGACTTGGGTATATCCAAAACTGGTTCTCAATGATTTGTAAAATCTAAATTCATAATAGATGGAATTATATTATTTGTAAAAATTTTAGTAAAAGTGAAGATATTGCTTTTAATCATTTCTATTATATCTGGATTATTAAATATATCTAAAATCATTTTTCAGATCTGTTTATCAACAATTATACCTGAATTCTTTTGTGTTTTTTGTGAAGAATGTTGAATCAAAGATTCGAGACTCTGTCTCTTCTTTGAACCAAACTTTTTAGATAATGATTTATCTGATTTACTCTTCTGCTTTACTTGTTTTTTTTGCTTTAGAGACATGTATGTTAATACTATAATCAGACTCAGATTCAGAAGATGAATTCATAGCATCAGATCCTATCTTAGAATCAGATCCAAAATTGCTACTAGAAGAATTGTTAATATCTGAACCTGAATCTAAAGTGACCTTATTAACATTATCTTTTTTCTTAGATCTGTTTTTTTTTTTTCTAAAACATTTATGAGAAGTATGTTCAGTTCTATAGCATTTTAAACAACAGTGTTTGGATAATTTATTAACTGCATTAACAACTGCTTTAATACCTTTTGCTATAGCTTAATTTATTAACAACTTATTCATATGATCAGCCAGATCTTCATCAGAGTCATCCTCATAATTTTTTAATTCCTTTTTATTACTTTTCTTAGATAAGAGAGAAGAAAATTTATTAACTACTCTTTTAGTAATTGTATCTATTAGTGTTTGTATAATAGATAGGCCAGCTGTGTTGTTAAGACACTCTAAAGTATCAAAGCCTTGTAATCATTCTTGATCATTCAATCACAAATTTGGGTTTTAATATATTTTACTTGGTTCCATTTAACTAGGATGTTTCAACTTGTCACTTGGTGCAGATTGAGTAGATGCCATTGTATTTCTTACCAACTTTTCGATTTCAGTTTTAGTTATTACCAATTTGTTAGTATCTACATTATGGGTTTTTCTTGTTGATACCAAATCTGAATTTGAATGCAGATAAGCTTCAGATAATTGCTTAGCATTATATCTTTCAATCTTTTCAAGTTCTGTAAGCAATTCAGAAACAGGCCTGTTAATTTCAATGCATCAAATTTCTAATTGATTATTGGGAGAGATGCTACAAAGAAATTGTAATCGAATTTGTTGTTCATCAATGCCAGTGAGTCTAGCCAATTTATGCAATTTTGAATAGAAACAACCAACAGGATCACTACTCTGAACTACTGATTCAAAGATCATTTATTGTTTTTCTGCAATAACAGTTGAATAGTTAGTCTTGAGCCATTATATTATCTGACCAAGTCAAATCCTACCTGCTACCACAGATTAACCAACATTGGCATTTGGTAGATTTATTACATGATTAGTTAGCTGACTATCAGCAAAAAATCAGTTCTTATCAAATACTATATAAACTAAAATAATAATATTTCTGGCTTGACCCACAGCATTATGTCTTAAATTTGCACCAAGTTGCACTGCTGTTCATCCTTGAACCAGAGCTAAAGTGGCCTGTCTAGTGTTATTTAGTAAATTTCTCAGTTCCCAATTCTTTCTTCAAAGAGAACTTTCATACCAATCTTTGGCATTACCTTTAAGGCATATTTCAAAAAGTCCATGTGCACAAACTCTATTGGCATGCCCACCAGCTATATTGATTCTAGCAGCCACAAGATACAAATAAAAAGAAACAATAAACTCCTCTGGATCTTTATCAGAATATCCATAATAAGTTAGGAGTGCATATCCTGCCATACTTCTTCTATTGTTATTTATAGGTGGGTTATTCTGTAGCACAAAAATTTGTTGATTTAAATTATTAATTAATTGTTTAGAATTTCAAACTCAGGCTTTCTACTTACTTTACTTGTTGTTCAGTTGAACATTAGCAAGTAATAAATCATTTTCTAGAGTCTTGCATTTATTTTTCTACTTATTATATTGATTTGTTGTAAGATTTAAGAGATGTATAATAATTGCTTTATCTGTCTTACATTTTTGTAGTTGCTGTTGAATTCATCTATTCTTGAATCCTAATGCAAATTTTTCTAGAAGCAATTTTGATATTTGTCTTTTTTGCATATAGATTGTAATTTGACTATCAAGTTCTTGAGATTTAAACATACTATGTTGCATTCTGTGAGCCTTATAAGCCTGATAAAGAAGATCATAGTCATTTTAAAGTGTGTCTAACTGGATTTGTGAATTAGCTAACTAGGTGTTTGCAAATCTGCTACTTGGTTTTCAGCATTAATTGTATGAGCATTTGCCCATAAGTATATTTCTAGTACCAATCGTTCAAGCCTATTACCAGCATTAGAGAATATATTAAGATAATTTACAATATCATTTAATGTAGATGTTATTGTAGTTGAGCTTTAAAAATACTGTCTAATATTATCAACCTCTTACTGAATTCTATGATTCTGAATCATAGCTTGATTTTTAGGTAAAGATAATCTGGATAATTCTGGTTGTTGAGCCATATCTATATTATCATTACCATTTTTATATAAAATAAGTATTTTTATTTTTTCATTAAGCTTGTCTATTTTATCTTGAAAATTACTAACTGCTTTTCCAAATAGTCTATGTAATTCTCTTAGCTTTTAGAATCTCGAAGTGTTTTTTTAACTATTCTTTAATATCAGAAATTTCCTGTTATAATGGATCCAGTTCTTCATCTTGAATCAAAATTTTATTTTCAAGATATTTAATATAACTCTTTTTTAAGTCTAGATTCTATTGTAATTTACAGAATTGATTTTTTATTATCTGCAAACTAGCTTCAAATTTTTTGATTGTTTTATTAAATGGAGACACTATTGTATTTGATGGTATTGTACAAGTCTATAATATATTGATGCTTTGGAAATTTTGTCAAATAATAATTTATTGATATAGTAAAATATATTGTTATAGAACGATTTATTATTATTTTATTATTATTAGTTATTATTATTATTACATATTATTATTATTTAGTATTAGATATTTCATTATTGTATTATTATTATTAGTAGAAGTTGCCAGAACATTCCGGTTGATTAGTAATCACTTAGTCGCTTAGTCGCTTAGATGCTTAGTCACTTAGTTGCTTAGTCACTTAGTTACTTAGTAATTAGTCACTTAGTAATCATTAGTCATTAGTTGCTAGAACCTTCCGGTCGCTTAGTAATCGCTTAGTTGCTTAGTCGCTTAGACA